ATATGCTGGATGTGCGACTTAAAGAACTCATGTTTTTCCTGAAGTCGCAGCATTATCCGGACGAGATTATTCGTAGTGGTGTAAATAGAGCTATAGAGAAGGGACCTTTTACATCCCGTGTAGAAGCCAACGATGACCAAGGAATTATTCCTTTTGTATCTACATACAATCCACATAATTTTGCTATGTACCCTATTGTAAAAACCAAAATCGATGACTTGCAGAGAACTAGCGTGCGTATGAAAAATGTTTTAGCTAAACATAGAATTATCAATAGTAAAAGACAACCCAAAAATCTCAAAAGGCTATTGAGTTTTTCCAAGTTTGAAACGAATCAAGCTGAACTTATTGTGTCTAAATGTAATTCGCCCAGATGTGGAACATGTAAAATAATTATTGAAGGTTCTACTTTTGTTTTCAAAAATGGATTTAAATTCACTGTACGTTCTAGTATGAATTGTAAGTCGAAGAATGTTATATATGCTATAGTGTGTGTTAAATGTTTGGAATTTTATATTGGCCAAACTGGGCGTGAACTACGTCAAAGAATGACTCTTCACAAGCAACAAACAATCCATGATGACCTTAGATTTTTACAAGTGAACAAACATATTCATAACTGTGCTAACAATAACTTCAAAGTGTTCCCTATTTACCAAATGCATTCATCTGATGTGATAAAGAGGGAAGTTAAGGAGTCGGAGTTAATGAAACTGTTGAAACCCAGTCTGAATAGTTCACATTAAATTCAACGTGTCATGCTTTAAGCAATTGCTGTGCTTTAAATATTATTGTTCATATTTTATTGTTGCCGTAAATGAAACAATTTGTATCTCCCGTATTTTTTATTGTTGGTAAGATCATAAAGTTATGCATTTGTCTAAGTAATGTAACGTCACAATTTAGCTTGTATTGTTGTTGACGTCATGGATTTATGTGTATGCCTTCTGTGACGTCATAATGACTTTGCATTATTGATGACGTCATACTTTCTTGTGTAAACAACTATGACCTCACAATACCTGTTTTCAAAATAAACAGTCTCCTGATGAACGGGGAATCAACCCGAGAAAGGCCTAGAGACGCTATCTCTGTCTTTTGTTCTATTTTTTATATTTAATTCCAACACAAGGACTTCTCAATGTTTTCTTTATATATATATATAATACATAAGTGAACACTGTAAATCATCATTTCGTGGTCCCCGGTTTCATGGATTTTCTAAAATGGCTAATTTTGTGAGATCTTTTTCTCATAGATTTCAGGTCTGGTAATCATGGCTCAAAGTGCTACAGGAATAAGATATCAATTTTAAATCAATTCTGCAAGTTTTTTTAGGAAAAAATTGTTGAAGAAAATTTACCATAGATTAATATTTGTGGAAAATTTCAATTTGCAAATAAGGGACTCCTCACAAATTAACATATAAACATTAATCTCTCGTGTAAATACAATGATTTACTGTCAGTGTCTTAAAGCAAATCAATGAGTAGGTGGTAAAGACATAAGACTGTCAGGGAAATTACCACAATCAACCAAAGCCACTGATAAAACTTCTACCCAGAGGATTTTTCATTGATTATACACTGTGTCATTTTTATTTGATTTGAGCTGGCCTGTTGCTGATTATTAACGCTGGTTATAAATCAAAGCCTTAGTTACTAGATCAATAATAAGAAAGCAGTTTATGATCTGATAATTAACACAAAATTATATTTAACTCGGCCTGACATTATAATCGGATTGCTGGGTTAGGGATTCCATTGTGTTTCATTGTTCAAGTGAAAAATCAGGTAGCTGTGACAGCTAGGTGATTGGAGAAGAATTGGGGTTGGATTTCATTACTGATAACTTGTGATGGAAAACACATGATTAAGAATTGATCTTCATTGACCTTTAACCTTCACACATCAACAGGAAGAGGGCCGTGAGTCTACAATGAAGGTGGTATTTATCTCCTGAGGCTGGTCCATCTGATAGCTTCACCATTGTGTGATGTCTTCTAACAGAGCTGTCCACTTCCAATCAGACTGACATGCTCTTTGAACTGAAAAAAGAAAGTCACTAAACCAGATTGGTGGGACAGGGCTTCCTTTAAATGAATTTTAACAGGACTATTTGTTGATTACTTGGCATTTACAATTGAGGATAAAGGGAAAATACCGGTACAGACAAATTGAAGAAAAAAAATACTTCTTGAAGATACAGAAAAGTAATTGTCTCCAGCTTTTTTGAGAAAAGTAGCTAGGGGGGGTACTAATGTTTGTCCATCTGTCTGTCATAATTTAGGTTCCGTTCAATAACTGCCCAGAAAAATAATCCAATTTCAACTAAATTTGGTATGCACATACCTTATTGGCATTGAAACATTGGGTGCATGCTTGATACTCCATAGGTTAGGCTCACTGACGTTCTCTGCATCCCAGCAATATATATGTCATGGAAAAATTGAGGACGTGGGGGCTATTTGTCTCGGGTAAAGATACCTGTCCCTTGGTTAGGCTGATACCTGTCCCTTGGTTAGGCTGATACCTGTCCCTTGGTTAGGCTGATACCTGTCCCTTGGTTAGGCTGATACCTGTCCCTTGAAGGTTACAGGGGAGCGACGTCCAACTTTGACACCGGTCAATTGAACTGTTATGTGAGGCAGGATCCTTTTGATGTCTCGTCCCCAAGATGGGCACACTTAGCCTTCGATTTTGTCATCACCTATTCCAGGGATGCGGAGGAGGTAGGAGAGCATAAGTTACCCGGGCTGGAGGATCTAGGATTGGTTGGGTGACAGCGCTATTGCCTCACGCCAAGGTGGCTGGGGTTTGATTCCTTTATCGGACATGAAAGGTTAAAGGGTCATATGCCCTAATATGGGTGTTACTACGGGTCTTACGTCCTCCCACATTCCCTGCATGCTTCCATCTCGTCTAACAAGAGCGGTTTACATAAAAAGGAAAACTTGTTTCATAATTATTGCAAAATAAATGGTTAATATTAAATAGCATTGAGACCCAGGCTAAATTTGATCACTAACAAAATGCTTACATATTAATGCTTAATTATTTTATTCTAATTGGTTAATTAGTTTCATTTCAGTAACTTCCGAAAATATTAATTGATAAATAAAATTGATGTAATTGGAACCAAATTCTGTATGCAAATACATAATGACAAGTTGTGATGCTTAATTAGATTGCCAGTGTTTTGCGTGCACATTTATGCATACTTAATGAGGCTGCTGAATTCTGATTGGTAAGTTGTTAAATTGGTTCAATTTCAACCAATTGAGTATGCACATACATAATAGCATGAACATGCTAAGTTAGATTGTCAATGTGATGTGTGCATATCAACACATAGGTAATGAGGTTACCATAAATTGTAATTTTTGGTCTCCATGCAATAACTGCCCTTCAAAAGTACAGTTTATATACAGATAAACCAATATACAGATAAACCAATATATAGATCCATATGCTAGTAGGTCAAGATATTGGCAAGTCGTACAATAAGTATGTTTATCACCAAACCTCAATAATGGACGACGGCTGCATCAGCAGTTTGTAAAGTTAGTAACCTCCATAATAAAAATTAAAAACTAGGTAGTTGGTTACCTTTAAAAAAGCTTGAATTCACTCGAGATATAGTGATCTTTTCATTGAAATCTCTTTGTGGATTTTTTTTCTATGGCGGTGACAGCTAGCATGCAAAGGAAACTTACAAGGTTAATAAAAATAACAAAAAAGTGTTAGACACAAAATAGGTTTGAAACAATAGACTTTACCAATAAGTCAATAGGTTCTGTAGCTCTCGAACAATTTAACCGTGAACATGGCTAGCTCAAAGGAAACTGCGGAATTAAATTTTAAGGTGATAATTTAGTACTTAAAAATGTAACCCTCATTGGTTGAGAATGAAACTTTTAATTTATTAAGGGAGATTACTCTGTAAAAGAAATCATTGATATTATGTGTAAGATAGCTTTTTATCTTAGCTTATTGATTTTGTCAAGGGAGGTAACTCAAATACAAATTTCTTACATGATGTGTAAGGGAGTGTATTACCTTTAATCTTTTGGCCTTTTACAAAGATAGGAGGGGCTCAATTTCCAGATTGGACGTGACAAGTTATAGGATGGGTCACTTTCCCATCTATTCCAGATTAGTAAAGTTTTTGTTTCAAACCTATTTTTTGTCTAACGAAGTATTCCAGTTTTCTCCCACATTATACCCTCGGTGCTGTCCATCGGGGCCAACAGGAATGATTACCTGTTAAGTTAGAAAAACTGTCAAAATCACTAATTGTTTTAAAGCAAATGTAGTTTGTATTTTTATTCATCTCTTGTCTGTGACTTTACTATCGAGATATTAGGATTTCCTGATGTCATTATCTTCTGCCATAATATTTTCACAATTGGTGATCTGGATAATATACCCAGAGAATATGAAGTGAGTGTATTCACTGCATAAGACAGCACTATGATGAAAAAATAAAACAACATCTAATACAGTCAAACTTTCATGTTTCTAACTTTGCAGGACCATCAGAAAAAATAGAAACATCAGGACTTTGACTCACAAACGTCAAACATTGACCATGAAAACCTTGTGTGAAACACAGGCTGAGAAATTTAATTCTAAATGGATAAATATTAGAGTAACAGTAATAAGAATGTACACAGTGTAGTTTGTCAGTCCAACAGATCTAAGTTTGTAAAGCCTGTGAACATGTTAAAATGTAGTCCTTTTCTCTTTGATGAATTTGTTGTAATGTTCAACATAACAAACTGGCATTGATTATACTTTGAAACAGCGAGAAATTGGACTCATGAAACGTGGATTTATAAATAGAATATTAGTAGTGCTATACTTTGCCAGAGGTTCTACGCATAGAGAAATTTCAATCTTTAAAGTTTGATGAATGGAAGTTTGACTGTATATTACTATTATACTAGTATTTGATATCAGCACACAGGGTGTTAATGTATCATGTTTTTGTCATTACAGGATGTTATGCTCTCGGCGACCAGCACGCAATCACCATTGGCCACTGCCTCATCTGTCTTTACCATGCCAACCATTTCCATGCCAACCGTTTCCATGGCGAATAGCACCGGGCTAGGGGGGCTTGCTGACCACCTATTCCTGCCCCACATCCCCTCAGTGACGGACACACCTAATTCCAACTCCCACGCTGATGGTAAAGCTGATGGTATGATGAAATACTGTTGTCATTCTTTTTATGACCTAAAGGTCTTGATCAAAAAACTAAATGCTAGAAGCTAGGTCTGTACTCTTCTTTGTTGCAACTATGTATATCAGTAAGTGTTGACAAAACATTTAGCAATAGTTCATCACTGTTCCAGAATGCATTCGGTCAGAAATAAAGGCAAAACGTTGTTATCTGGCTCTCTGTCACATAACACCACACAGATTGAAATAAAGTCTGTCTCAAAATATCTTTACTTTCATAAAAATTATCATTTGATTGCGGAGGGAGGAGGGGGGCAATAGTGTTACTCCTGCTGTCTGTCCGGACCCACCATATTGCATCTTGTTCTGTTGCTTAGAGATTCATTGTCATGACTCTACCAACTTTATATTTTAACAGACTTTCATCCACGTTTAAACTAAAGTCACTGTTGCTATTGATAGGTTAACCACAGAGCCAAGGGATCATGAATATTTATATCAATTTGGTCAAAAGGAGATGAAGAATTTAGTGAAATATATCGCAAATCAATATAGTTACATGCAGTGCCACAAGTAACAGACAGCAAGCCTCTGTCTCCCTGACACTATCCATATACAGTAGAGCCAACTAGTATTCCCATAGAAGATACAGTAAAGTTCCCATCAGAGCTGATGTCTATAATGGTTGGTTCTCATAGATATGTTGTTGTATCAAATTTTCTTTTGATCAAATTTGGTCACTTTCATACAAACATCATAAAATTGTGAAATCCAATCCACTTAAACATAACCTGTTCTTTCATTTGTCCTGATAATGTTCAGACAAGAACACTTTGGCTGAGATTGAATTGAACGAGATAAACATTTTTCGTAAATTGTGTAATAGGAATCTCCTACTAAAGCCCATTGATTTCCATTAAGGGTTTTGTTGTTGCAATATTCTTTGGCACGATATGCCAACATCACTTTGCTAGTCCACTGGAACTATTCAGAGATCTATTATTTTGTATGAACCAGTAATTGACCCGACACCATCCATGTGTTTTGTTTTGTTAGAGACCTGTCAAACATGTATTTTATGTTGGTCAATTTTATGGTGAAATTGACTTTTTTTTTATATATACATAAATGTTTGCATGTGTCGCATTTCATCAGCAGAATATTGATGGTGAGAGGATGCATATATCATTACACCAAATCATTACATTAATGGCGGTATTTTCTCATCAAAAGTCTGGGTTGTCCATTATTCTGGTGTTTTCAAACAATTCTGCTGTACTAAACAAAAAACGTACAGAAGTAATTTATTCCCATGGGAAATATCCGAAACTCCCGTTAACTCCATAGAGAACCGTTAGATGTGGCCTGGTGTAGTCATTTCTGGGGAAATCAATAATGGTTCGGAATAGTGAGAGATCACATATGTCTGTGTCAGGCCACTCCAGATACATGTGGTCTGACCTGATCATTGTGGGAACTAGTGGACAGAAAACCTAGTCTGAACACTACCACCTTATCCCCCCACACCATAAACACACATACCCCTTGTGGTTACTTCACCAACATACAACTGTCATGGCCTATCCTTCACTGTCTGTTGTCAACTTTTCTTTTGACACTCTACAATGACCAACTGACTCTCCAGGTCATGAGTATATACGGGTCAAGGGGATTCAGTGTCTAATAAGTGTTGGGTGTGACTCCCTGTGGACGCAGAGGGTCAATGGCACAATAAGGGAAATATGGTAAATCTTTAAAATAATAATACTTCAGTATATATATAATCTTTATTGATTTTACAACAATTATGAAACAAGTTATTCCAACTTATATTAATCACTATTGTTGGCCCAGATGTTAGCACGTAGGGGATCTTAGTGTGGGAGGAAACCGGAGTATCTGAAGAAAACCCACGTGGTCGGGCAGGTGACCCCAACCTTTTCATGTACGATCAGGGAATCAAACCCTGGCCGCCTTGGTGAAAGGCAAGTGTGCTATTGTATCCACTGCTCCACCAGACCACCCTGTGGTACTTCAGTAAACAGACTTGCTCCGGACCATCCTTGGGCCAAGTGGACTTGTGTAAATGAAGTAACTCCTGTGGCCAGAAGAAATGTGCCCCAATACAGGATTGTACTACTTTGATAGATTGAGACTCTAATTATACACATACAAACTTAAGCCCTTCATCAGGGTTTGTGTGTAAATATCAAATGTGGGTGTGAAATAAGGGTGAAGACCATTCAGTCCCTGATGAAGTCCAAAAGCTGGAATCTTGAGTGACTGTTGATATATATTATATTTATGCTATCAGATTGGGCCTTTCAGTCCAGCCTAGCTTGCCCCCTTGAACTTAGTCTCTGAGTCATATCATGCAAACAGTTGGGATCCCCACCCCATAACCATATAAATAATTGCTGGCCAGGAATTTGAATAAATGAAAAGAATATTTACCAGGAGATTACAAACAATTTCAAAGAAAGTTGAAAAATAAGCCAAGACCTACTGAAAACTACTGATGTATTCAAAAACATTGAGACACTATTTTTGAAGATTGAAAAAAAAATGATATTTGATATTTGTGTTATTTATTTACCCCTTTGTAGATTTTATTTTCTGAGATTCCTTTTCCAAACACTTTAATTATTTTGTTTGACAGGTGGAATCACATCGCTGTCAAGTCCAACTCAGCTGTTTGGTCAGCCGCAGGTGGCAGCACCGCAGTTCTTCCTCACAGGTCAGTCAGTGCAGGCCGCGGCGGCATCAGCAGCTGGTCAGTGCCACAGTCCGGCCTCCTCAATACAGCAGCTTCTCATCCCTGTTTCCACAGGTAGTCACCACTACCACAAACTACCTGTCGTCTAAACTCTTACTAATCCCTACCTGACATGACATAGAGACCACTTAGACATGACATACAGACTATGTAGACATGACATAGATACCATGTAGACATGACATAGAGACCACGTAGATATGACATATAGATCACGTGAACATGACAGAGACAACGTATACATGCCATAGAGACCCCATAAACATGACATAAAGATCACGTAGACATGACATAGAGACCCCATAGACATGACATAGAGACCACGGAGACATGACATAGAGACCATGTAGATATGACATAGAGACTACGTAGACATGACATACAGACCACGTAGACATGACATACAGACCACGTAGACATTACATAGATACCACGTAGACATGACATACAGACCACGTAGACATGACATATAGACCACATAGACATGACATATAGACCACGTAGACATGACATACAGACTATGTAGACATGACATAGATACCACGTAGACATGACATAGAGACCACGTAAACATGACATAGAGACCACGAAGATATGACATATAGATCACGTGAACATGACAGAGACAACATATACATGACATAGAGACCCCATAGACATGACATAAAGATCACATAGACATGACATAGAGGCCCCATAGACATGACATAGAGACCCTTAGACAAGACATAGAGACCACGTAGACATGACATAGAGACCACGTAGGCATGACAAAGAGACCACTTAGACATGACATACAGACTATGTAGACATGACATAGATACCACGTAGACATGACATAGAGACCACGTAGATATGACATATAGATCACGTGAACATGATAGAGACAACGTATACATGCCCTAGAGACCCCATAGACATGACATAGAGACCACGTAGACATGACATAAAGGCCCCATAGACATGACATAGAGACCCTGTAGACAAGACATAGAGACCACGTAGACATGACATACAGACTATGTAGACATGACATAGATACCATGTAGATATGACATAGAGACTACGTAGACATGACATACAGACCACGTAGACATGACATAGAGACCACTTAGACATGACATACAGACCACGTAGACATGACATAGAGACCACTTAGACATGACATACAGACCACGTAGACATGACATAGATACCACGTAGACATGACATACAGACCACGTAGACATGACATAGATACCACGTAGACATGACATATAGACCACGTTGACATGACATAGAGACCCCATGTACATGACATAGAGACCACGTAGACATGACATATAGACCACGTAGACATGACATAGAGACCCTGTAGACAAGACATAGAGACCACGTAGACATGACATACAGACTATGTAGACATGACATAGAGACCCCATGTACATGACATAGAGACCACATAGACATGACAAAGAGACCCCATAGACATGACATATAGACCACGTAGACATGACATATAGACCACGTTGACATGACATAGAGACCACGTAGATATGACATAGACACCCCATATACATGACATATAGACCACGTAGACATGACATACAGACCACGTAGACATGACATACAGACCATGTAGACATGACATATAGACCACGTAGACATGACATACATGTAGACATGACATAGAGACCACGGAGGCATGACATACAGACCACGTAGACATGACATACAGACCACGTAGACATGACATACAGACCCCATAGACATGACGTATATACCACGTAGACATGACATACATACCACGTAGACATGACATACAGACCACGAAGACATGACATACAGACCACGTAGACATGACATACAGACCACGTAGACATGACATACAGACCACGTAGACATGACATACATACCACGTAGACATGACATACAGACCACGTAGACATGACATACAGACCACGTAGACATGACATACAGACCACGTAGACATGACATACAGACCACGTAGACATGACATACAGACCACGTAGACATGACATACAGACCACGTAGACATGACATACAGACCACGTAGACATGACATACAGACCACGTAGACATGACATACAGACCACGTAGACATGACATACAGACCACGTAGACATGACATACAGACCACGTAGACATGACATACAGACCACGTAGACATGACATACAGACCACGTAGACATGACATACAGACCACGTAGACATGACATACAGACCACGTAGACATGACATACAGACCACGTAGACATGACATACAGACCACGTAGACATGACATACAGACCACGTAGACATGACATACAGACCACGTAGACATGACATACAGACCACGTAGACATGACATACAGACCACGTAGACATGACATACAGACCACGTAGACATGACATACAGACCACGTAGACATGACATACAGACCACGTATACATGACATACAGACCATGTAGACATGACATACAGACCACGTAGACATGACATACAGACCACGTAGACATGACATACAGACCACGTAGACAAGACATACAGACCACGTAGACATGACATACAGACCACGTAGACATGACATATAGACCACGTAGACATGACATAGAGACAACATAGACATGACATACAGACCACGTAGACATGACATACAGACCACGTAGACACCTTTATTAGAGCGATAACTGAAGCCATAAACTGCAAAAGTCAAGTCTCATTTGTCTGGAATTTGTTTATCTGGACATTTCTTCTTGAACCAAAGTGTCTCAGGTTACAAAATATGACGGTAAACATCTAAACCTTTTTAGAACCAAAGTGTAGAGCATGCTCTCTTAATTGACTTATATCTTTACCTAACTGTCAGCTGCTAGAAATCCCTTAATCATCTTACTTAACTGTCAGTTGCTAGAAATCGTTATTTCTCCTCATTATTATCAAATATTTACTCACAATCAAAATTTCGCATAAGCTGCAGTACTAGTGTGTCTGTACATGGTATATATGTTGGAACCTAGTATTGTACAAGGAATGTTAATACTACGTCTGCTCTGCTAGGACTTCTAAATTATGCATGTAGAAAGGGAAATAACTCTGATGGTACATTCTGTAAACTTATCTTCATCATTAGCAGACTTTTCAGACTTGGCAATTTAAAGAAGAAGATCCTCACTACTTTCACTTAATTCTACTTAATTGACATGAAATTATGTATGTGCAAACATTTTTGTGGAGCACTTGGTGATAAACATTGCAGTAGCATTACATGAAGTTTGTCTACTTTATTAAGTATCAGTGGTTAGGCAAACCATAGAGGTCATTGATGTTCCTCAACTTATACATAACAAAGTATTGTAGACCTTACCTCTCACTAACCGGCTGGGTATTATAGACCTCACCTCTCACTAACCGGCTGGGTATTATAATTATAGACCTTACCTCTCACTAACCGACTGGGTATTATAATTATAGACCTTACCTCTCACTAACCGGCTGGGTATCATAATTATAGACCTTACCTCTCACTAACCGACTGGGTATTATAATTATAGACCTTACCCCTCACTAACTGGCTGGGTATTATAGACCTTACCTCTCACTAACCGGCTGGGTATTATAGACCTTACCCCTCACTAACCAGCTGGGTATTATAATTATAGACCTTACCTCTCACTAACCGACTGGGTATTATAATTATAGACCTTACCTCTCACTAACTGGCTGGGTATTATAGACCTTACCCCTCACTAACCAGCTGGGTATTGTAGACCTTATCTCTCACTAATCAGCTGGTTTTTTTTAGACCTTACCTCTCATTAACAGGCTGAGTATTTTAGACCTTACCTCTCACTTACCGGCTGGGGATTATAGACCTTTTCCCTCACTAACCAGGTGGGTATTGTAGACCTTATCTCTCACTAACCAGCTGGGTATTATAGACTTCACCTCTCATTAACAGGCTGGGTATTGTAGACCTTATCTCTCACTTACCAGCTGGGTATTATAGACCTATCCTCTCGCTTACCGGCTGGGTATTATAGACCTTTCCCCTCACTAACTGCTGGGTATTGTAGACCTTACCTCTCACTAACCAGCTGGGTATTATAGACCTCACCTCTCATTAACAGGCTGGGTATTATAGACCTTACCTCTCATTAATTGGCTGGTTTTTATAGACCTTACCTCTCATTAACAGGCTGAGTATTTAAGACCTTAACTCTCACTAACCGGCTGGGTATTATAGACCTTTCCCCTCACTAACCAGCTGGGTATTGTAGACCTTATCTCTCACTAACCAGCTGGGTATTATTGACCTCACCTCTCATTAACAGGCTAGGTATTGTAGACCTTACCTCTCACTTATCGGCTGGGTTTTTTTTAGACCTTACCTCTCATTAACAGGCTGAGTATTTTAGACCTTATTTCTCACTAACCAGCATGGTATTATAGACCTTTCCCCTCACTAACCAGGTGGGTATTGTAGACCTTTCCTCTCATTAACAGGCTGAGTATTATAGACCTCACCCCTCACTAACCGGCTGGGTATTGTAGACCTTTCCCCTCACTAACAGGCTGGGTATTATAGACCTTACCCCTCACTAACCGGCTGGGTATTGTAGACCTTACCCCTCACTAACCGGCTGGGTATTGTAGACCTTTCCCCACACTAATAGGCTAGGTATTATAGACCTTACCCCTCACTAACCGGCTGGGTATTGTAGACCTTACCCCTCACTAACCGGCTGGGTATTGTAGACCTTTCCCCTCACTAACAGGCTGGGTATTATAGACCTTATCCCTCACTTACAGGCTGGATATTATAGACCTTACCCCTCACTAACCGGCTGGGTATTATAGACCTCACCTCTCATTAACAGGCTGGGTATTGTAGACCTTATCTCTCACTAATCAGCTGGGTTTTTTTAGACCTTACCTCTCATTAACAGGCTGAGTATTTTAGACCTTACCTCTCACTTACCGGCTGGGTATTATAGACCTTTTCCCTCACTAACCAGCTGGGTATTATAGACCTCACCTCTCATTAACAGGCTGGGTATTATAGACCTTACCTCTCATTAATTGGCTGGTTTTTATAGACCTTACCTCTCACTTACCAGCTGGGTATTATAGACCTATCCTCTCACTTACCGGCTGGGTATTATAGACCTTTCCCCTCACTAACCGCTGGGTATTGTAGACCTTACCTCTCACTAACCAGCTGGGTATTATAGACCTCACCTCTCATTAACAGGCTGGGTATTGTAGACCTTACCTCTCACTAATCGGCTGGTTTTTTTTTAGACCTTACCTCTCATTAACAGGCTGAGTGTTTTAGACCTTATTTCTCACTAACCAGCATGGTATTATAGACCTTTCCCCTCACTAACCAGGTGGGTATTGTAGACCTTACCTCTCATTAACAGGCTGAGTATTATAGACCTCACCTCTCATTAACAGGCTGGGTATTGTAGACCTTATCTCTCGCTAACCAGCTGGGTATTATAGACCTCACCTCTCACTAACAGGCTGGGTATTATAGACCTTACCCCGCACTAACCGGCTGGGTATTATAGACCTTTCCCCTCACTAACCAGCTGGGTATTGTAGACCTTATTTCTCACTAACCAGCTGGGTATTATAGACCTCACCTCTCATTAACAGGCTGGGTATTGTAGACCTTATCTCTCACTTACCAGCTGGGTATTATAGACCTTACCTCGTACTAACCGGCTGAGTATTGTAGACCTTATCTCTCACTAACCGGCTGGGTTTTGTAGATCTTATCTCGCACTAGTTTGCTTGGAAGGATTCTAACATAAATTGTCTCATCCCTGTTTAGATCTTCTAATACTGTCCTTAAGGAAGTCCAAATAGTGGTTGCCTAATACAGGTATAATTGAGAATGAAATCATCAGCATGGAGAACATCTAAAGTGGTCTCTTAATACAACAGGTGGTCTCTTAATACAACAGGTGGTCTCTTAATACAACAGGTGATCTCTTAATATAACAGGTGATCTCTTAATACAACAGGTGATAGCTTGATACAACAGGTGATCTCTTAATAAAACAGGTGGTCTCTTGATATAACAGGTGATCTCTTAATACAACAGGTGGTCTCTTAATACAACAGGTGATCTCTTTATACAACAGGTGATCTCTTAATACAACAGGTGATCTCTTAATACAACAGGTGGTCTCTTAATACAACAGGTGATCTCTTAATACAACAGGTGATCTCTTAATAGAAGTTGTCGCACGATTTGACTATATTAACAAATTAACATTGTATATGATGTTATTGGGGAAATTTTCGCGATACTCACATCATTTTTTATCACAGAATTACCTGTTACTACTTCAGACATCACATAGGAATACTTAACCATCATCAGCATGAATTGTTCCAAGATGAGATAGCTTAAAGAGTAACAGGTGAAATGGTATGATGACAACAGTTAATGTTGAATTGTATGAATGATCTGTGGGATTACAAAACTTTATTGTGTTTAATGTATTGCAGTACTTTGATATCATTGTAGGCAATGGAGCACAGCAGTTCATTAGTATTCCGGTGTCCTTGGCGGCCGGCGGTAACCAACAGATTCAGCTACTCACCACATCAAACGGGCAGATCATCGCCACCAACCTCGCCAACATCCCGGGTCTAACGCAACCTCTTAACCTCAATATCAACAACACAGGTACGCCTAGCCAACATCCCGGGTCTAACGCAATCTCTTAACCTCAATATCAACAACCCAGGTACACCTAGCCAACATCCCGGGTCTAACGCAACCTCTTAACCTCAATATCAACAACACAGGTACGCCTAGTCCATTGTCACAAACTAACACAACCTCACTCAACCCCAATATCAACTACACAGGTATGCAGGTACGCCTAGTCATTGTCACAAACTAACACAACCTCACTCAACCCCAATATCAACTACACAGGTACGCAGGTACGCCTAGTCATTGTCACAAACTAACACAACCTCACTCAACCCCAATATCAACAACACAGGTACGCAGGTACGCCTAGTCATTGTCACAAACTAACACAACCTCACTCAACCCCAATATCAACTACACAGGTACGCAGGTACGCCTAGTCATTGTCACAAACTAACACAACCTCACTCAACCCCAATATCAACAACACAGGTACGCAGGTACGCCTAGTCATTGTCACAAACTAACACAACCTCACTCAACCCCAATATCAACTACACAGGTACGCAGGTACGCCTAGTCATTGTCACAAACTAACACAACCTCACTCAACCCCAATATCAACAACACAGGTACGCAGGTACGCCTAGTCATTGTCACAAACTAACACAACCTCACTCAACCCCAATATCAACTACACAGGTACGCAGGTACGCCTAGTCATTGTCACAAACTAACACAACCTCACTCAACCCCAATATCAACAACACAGGTACGCAGGTACGCCTAGTCATTGTCACAAACTAACACAACCTCACTCAACCCCAATATCAACTACACAGGTACGCAGGTACGCCTAGTCATTGTCACAAACTAACACAACCTCACTCAACCCCAATATCAACAACACAGGTACGCAGGTACGCCTAGTCATTGTCACAAACTAACACAACCTCACTCAACCCCAATATCAACTACACAGGTACGCAGGTACGCCTAGTCATTGTCACAAACTAACACAACCTCACTCAACCCCAATATCAACAACACAGGTACGCAGGTACGCCTAGTCATTGTCACAAACTAACACAACCTCACTCAACCCCAATATCAACAACACAGGTACGCAGGTACGCCTAGTCATTGTCACAAACTAACACAACCTCACTCAACCCCAATATCAACAACACAGGTACGCAGGTACGCCTAGTCATTGTCACAAACTAACACAACCTCACTCAACCCCAATATCAACAACACAGGTACGCAGGTACGCCTAGTCATTGTCACAAACTAACACAACCTCACTCAACCCCAATATCAACTACACAGGTACGCAGGTACGCCTAGTCATTGTCACAAACTAACACAACCTCACTCAACCCCAATATCAACTACACAGGTACGCAGGTACGCCTAGTCATTGTCACAAACTAACACAACCTCACTCAACCCCAATATCAACTACACAGGTACGCAGGTACGCCTAGTCATTGTCACAAACTAACACAACCTCACTCAACCCCAATATCAACTACACAGGTACGCAGGTACGCCTAGTCATTGTCACAAACTAACACAACCTCACTCAACCCCAATATCAACTACACAGGTACGCAGGTACGCCTAGTCATTGTCACAAACTAACACAACCTCACTCAACCCCAATATCAACTACACAGGTACGCAGGTACGCCTAGTCATTGTCACAAACTAACACAACCTCACTCAACCCCAATATCAACAACACAGGTACGCAGGTACGCCTAGTCATTGTCACAAACTAACACAACCTCACTCAACCCCAATATCAACTACACAGGTACGCAGGTACGCCTAGTCATTGTCACAAACTAACACAACCTCACTCAACCCCAATATCAACTACACAGGTACGCAGGTACGCCTAGTCATTGTCACAAACTAACACAACCTCACTCAACCCCAATATCAACTACACAGGTACGCAGGTACGCCTAGTCATTGTCACAAACTAACACAACCTCACTCAACCCCAATATCAACAACACAGGTACGCAGGTACGCCTAGTCATTGTCACAAACTAACACAACCTCACTCAACCCCAATATCAACAACACAGGTACGCAGGTACGCCTAGTCATTGTCACAAACTAACACAACCTCACTCAACCCCAATATCAACAACACAGGTACGCAGGTACGCCTAGTCATTGTCACAAACTAACACAACCTCACTCAACCCCAATATCAACAACACAGGTACGCAGGTACGCCTAGTCATTGTCACAAACTAACACAACCTCACTCAACCCCAATATCAACAACACAGGTACGCAGGTACGCCTAGTCATTGTCACAAACTAACACAACCTCACTCAACCCCAATATCAACAACACAGGTACGCAGGTACGCCTAGTCATTGTCACAAACTAACACAACCTCACTCAACCCCAATATCAACAACACAGGTACGCAGGTACGCCTAGTCATTGTCACAAACTAACACAACCTCACTCAACCCCAATATCAACAACACAGGTACGCAGGTACGCCTAGTCATTGTCACAAACTAACACAACCTCACTCAACCCCTATATCATCAACACTTCCAATTTTGAGATGGCCATTTGAGACTTTGGTTGGCTGAGACAATTTGTTGACTTTCCAAATTCCACCAGTCATAAACAATGGATAATTAGAGAGCAGATTTATTGTGATGTTGTGATTGTTAGAGGGGGCGATCCAATGACACGACACCTACATAGTGGTGGCTGCTTTACCCAGAGGATATATTTACTTGTACTGTAGATGTACAAATTTTAGCTGTAATCTTATTTTAGTGCTTCTCACGATTCAAATTTTGATCTCTACTATGATAGTGCTGTTTTAACTGTATGTGTAATGTTTACTATTGTATATATCGTCATTGTGCTAATTCCTCTTTGCACTAATCTATTAGGATTTGATAAGAAACATTTGAGTGTACTATGACTGTACATTCACAGTGAACAGTTTTGTATGGAACTCTATGATAAGCTTGTATCTTAACTCTATATCACATTATCAGCTAAGTAACCAGTTTTGTCCAGAGCACTGATACTTTATGTTCCAGGCGCACACCAGACCCAGAATTCCACCACTAATTCCAGTCAGAGCCATCAACAGGCTAGCGGACTGGGACTAGCCAATCAGCTTGGCTCTCTACCTCAACTGCTGACGACCGGAGCACAGGGCCAGATCCTGGCTGTCGGTCCTCAGGTATCACTCTCAAATCTTATTATGTCTCCTATTTAATTCTGATCTTTGATATTCCTTCCAGTTTTAATAAAAGTTTGAACCATCCTTATTAACTATTAAAGGTATCTTGATGGATTTAATGTTAACATGCATCACCTACACACTAAAAGTCACTATTACATTTACCTCAAAGTCATGGAGTGCATGTGCAAGTACACAAATACTTCATTTTCCGTAAAATTTCATCCATATCACATTTAAATTAAAGTCTGTTAGAAATATCTGATTGAGACTTGAAGCATACAGAAATCATCCACAGAAGCTGTGTAGTGCTCCTGTATTATTAGTATATCCTTGTGAACGTTTCAGGCCAAGGTCAACTTAGAACTTCATTCATTTAAACCAGGACACTTAGTAACTGTACTAAAGTCATTCTGTAGTTGATATTTGATACAATTGATATGATAACTGGACAGTGATAATATTTCGTGAGGGATTCTATATATTCATTCATTAACAAGTTTTGCTATATCCATGGTCTGAATACAGTTTCAGAGGAAAAATAAAATTCTATCAACAATTCAGTATTGTATGAAATTCATATGGTATATAAAATACATTATAAACATGTCAAATCAGATTCGGAACAAAATATTTTTTTCAGAGAGAATTCGTATTTACAGATTATGTAGAGATGTTTGTGAGGTACTAATTCATCTATGTGTTATACAGGTAATTAACCCTCTGTCCCTGACGCAGCCTACACTCGCGTCCTCAGCTAACAATGCACTGACTCAGATCTCACAGACCAATGGTCAGCTGACAACCAATCACAGCTCTGCCTCTACTCACCACACAGCCATCCGCCACGCCCACACCAACAGCCAGCCGTCAGTAGCGCCAGTGGTGTCCTCCCCCCCAAGACTGCCAACACAGGTCCTTACCCCAACAGTCACCTCAGACGTGCTGCCTCCCAACGTCAGTCAACTGCTTCCAAGTGAGTGTAATGTTACTTCTATAGAAACAGTCTTCACTCTGAACATCACCTAATTAACCCACCCACTGTTGCCTTTTACATGTTTCCTGTCTCCCTATATATGTCACCTATAACTCATTACCAACCACCATCCCCTCTGACATCACCTCGCCACCGCGGACACCATCACCATCTTCAATGCTGACATCCTCACCCCTCACTCTCAACTTTGATGTCGACACCTACACCCCTTACTATCACCTTTGATGTCGACACCTACACCCCTCACTCTCACCTTTGATCTCAACACCTATACCCCTCTCTCTCACCTTTGATGTCGACACCTACACCCCTTACCCTCACCTTTGATGTCGAGACCTACACCCCTCACCCTCACTTTTGATGTCAACACCTACACCCCTCCCTCTCACCTTTGATGTGGACACATACACCCCTCACTCTCACCTATGATATAAACACATACACCGCTTACTCTCATCTTTGATGTGGACACCTACACCCCTCACTCTCACCTTTGATGTGGACACCTACACCCCTCACTCTCACCTTTGATCTCAACACCTGCACCCCTCACTCTCACCTTTGATCTCAACACCTGCACCCCTCACTCTCACCTTTGATCTCAACACCTACACCCTTCATTCTCACCTATGATGTCAACACCTACACCGCTCACTCTCATCTTTGATGTTGACATCTACACCCCTCACCCTCACCTTTGATGTCAACACCTACACCCCTCACTTACACCTTTGATCTCAACACCTATACCCCACACTCTCACCTTTGATGTCGACACCTACAGCCCTCACTCTCACCTTTGATCTCAACACCTGCACCCCTCACTCTCACCTTTGATCTCAACACCTACACCCTTCATTCTCACCTATGATGTCAACACCTACACCGCTCACTCTCATCTTTGATGTTGACATCTACACCCCTCACCCTCACCTTTGATGTCATCACCTTCACCCCTCACTCTCACCTTTGATGTCGAGACCTACACCCCTCACCCTCACTTTTGATGTCAACACCTACACCCCTCCCTCTCACCTTTGATGTGGACACATACACCCCTCACTCTCACCTATGATATAAACACATACACCGCTTACTCTCATCTTTGATGTGGACACCTACACCCCTCACTCTCACCTATGATATAAACACATACACCGCTTACTCTCATCTTTGATGTGGACACCTACACCCCTCACTCTCACCTTTGATGTCGTCACCTACACCCCTCACCCTCACCTTTGATGTATACATCTACACCCCTCACCCTCACCTTTGATGTCATCACCTACCCCCCTCACTCTCACCTTTGATCTCAACACCTGCACCCCTCACCCTCATCTTTGATGTCGACATCTACACCGCTCACTCTCATCTTTGATGTCCACACCTACACCCCTCACTCTCACCTTTGATCTCAACACCTGCACCCCTCACCCTCATCTTTGATGTGGACATCTACACCCCTCACTCTCACCTTTGATGTCGAGACCTACACCCCTCACTCTCACCTTTGATGTCAAGACCTACACCCCTCACTCTCACTTTTGATGTCAACACCTACACCCCTCACTCTCACCTTTGATCTCAACACCTACACCCCTCACTCTCACCTTTGATCTCAACACCTGCACCCCTCACCCTCATCTTTGATGTGGACATCTACACCCCTCACTCTCACCTTTGATGTCGACACCTACACCCCTCACCCTCACCTTTGATGTTGACACCTACACCCCTCACTCTCACCTTTGATGTCATCACCTACACCCCTCACTCTCACCTTTGATCTCAACACCTATACCCCACACTCTCACCTTTGATGTCGACACCTACACCCCTCACTCTCACCTTTGATCTCAACACCTGCACCCCTCACCCTCATCTTTGATGTGGACATCTACACCGCTCACTCTCATCTTTGATGTCCACACCTACACCCCTCACTCTCACCTTTGATCTCAACACCTACACCCTTCATTCTCACCTATGATGTCAACACCTACACCGCTCACTCTCATCTTTGATGTTGACATCTACACCCCTCACCCTCACCTTTGATGTCAACACCTACACCCCTCACTCACACCTTTGATCTCAACACCTATACCCCACACTCTCACCTTTGATGTTGACACCTACACCCCTCACTCTCACCTTTGATGTCAACACATACACCCCTCACTCTCACCTTTGAGGTCGACACCTGCACCCCTCACCCTCACCTTTGATGTCGACACCTACACCCCTCACTCTCATTTTTGATGTCGACCTACACCCCTCACTCTCACCTTTGATGTGGACATCTACACCCCTCACTCTCACCTTTGATGTCAACACCTGCACCCCTCACTCTCACTTTTGATCTCAACACCTACCCCCCTCACCCTCACCTTTGATATCGACACCTAGATAACACTATATAAAATCAAAACGGTACAGAGTAGGTAAATACCACTAGATAAAAATCAAAACGGTACAGATCTAGAATACACCCCTCACTCTCACCTTTGAGGTCGACACCTCCACCCCTCACCCTCACCTTTGATGTCGACACCTACCCCCCTCACTCTCATTTTTGATGTCGACCTACACCCCTCCCTCTCACCTTTGATGTCAACACCTACACCCCTCTCTCTCACTTTTGATGTCGAGACCTACACCCCTCACTCTCACTTTTGGTGTCGACACCTACACTCCTCACTCTCACCTTTGATGTCAACACCTACACCCCTCACTCTCACTTTTGATCTCAACACCTACACCCCTCACCCTCACCTTTGATATCGACACCTAGATAACACTAGATAAAATCAAAACGGTACAGAGTAGGTAAATAACACTAGATAAAATCAAAACAGTAGAGAGTAGGTAAATAACACTAGATAAAATCAAAACGGTACAGAGTTGGTAAATACCACTAGATAAAAATCAAAACGGTACAGATCTAGAGTAGGTAAATAACACTAGATACAATCAAAACGGTATAGAGTAGGTAAATAACACTAGATAAAAACAAAGCGGTACAGAGTAGGTAAATACCACTAGATAAAAATCAAAACGCCCTCACCTTTGATGTCATCACCTACACCCCTCACTCTCACTTTTGACCTCAACACCTACACCCCTCACTCTCACCTTTGATCTCAACACCTACACCCCTCACCCTCACCTTTGATATCGACACCTAGATAACACTAGATAAAATCAAAACGGTATAGAGTAGGTAAATAACACTAGATAAAAACAAAGCGGTACAGAGTAGGTAAATACCACTAGATAAAATCAAAACGGTACAGAGTAGGTAAATAACACTAGATAAAATCAAAATGGTACAGATCTAGAGTAGGTAAATAACACTAGATAAAATCAAAACAGTACAGAGTAGGTAAATAACACCTGATAAAATCAAAACAGTACAGATCTAGAGTAGGTAAATAACACTAGATAAAATCAAAACGGTATAGAGTAGGTAAATAACACTAGATAAAATCAAAATGGTACAGAGTAGGTAAATAACACCTGATAAAATCAAAACAGTACAGATCTAGAGTAGGTAAATAACACTAGATAAAATCAAAACGGTACGGAGTTGGTAAATACCACTAGATAAAATCAAAACGGTACAGATCTAGAGTAGGTAAATAACACTAGATAAAATCAAAACGGTACAGAGTAGGTAAATAACACTAGATAAAATCAAAACGGTACAGATCTAGAATAGGGAAATTCCACAATTTTTGTAAGGATTAACGTATTCTGGTATATTCCCATTTTGTGTTACACATATATTGGGTTATGTTGTAAACTTGTGATAGCTTTGTGTATTTATTCTTGATCTATTGATAATATAATTGTTACTGTATAAAGTATATATTTTAGCGGTATTCTAATATAAAAGCATTTCAAGCTTTAAATATTCCGCTTATTTACTTAGTACGCGAATTGAAAACTCTGTATATAATTTTCTATTGCGCATATTGTGAGTGTGTTAATACATTTATGAGCTAATCTGCTCAAATTCTATAGAACGCTAAAATTGAAGTCCGCTTAAATAAGTACTTTTACTGTATAAAAAACAAGTTAATACGTATGATTGAATATTGTGATGGGCAGGTTCCCGATACAACATATCAGTTTTTATCGATCTGAATCTTATCTTTAAGTTAACCTTTCAGACACAGTAGGGAATTCAACGGAGAGTACAACAGTGGATGGGATCAACCTCGATGAAATCAAAGAATTTGCCAAACAGTTTAAGATCCGGAGACTCTCTCTGGGGCTAACACAGACACAAGTAGGTCAGGCCCTCAGTGCAACAGAGGGGCCTGCCTACAGCCAATCAGCTATCTGTAGGTAAGTATCGGAGGGTCCTACCTACAACCAATCAGCTATCTGTAGGTAAATATCAGAGAGGCCTACCTACAACCAATCAGCTATCTGTATGTAAGCAATAGAGGGGCCTACCTTCAGCCAATCAGCGATCTGTAGGTATAGAGGGGCCTGCCTACAGCCAAACAGCTATCTGTAGGTAAGTAATAGAGGGCCCTACCTACAGCCAATCAGCTATCTGTATGTAAGTATCGGAGGTGCCTGCCTACAGCCAATCAGCTATCTGTTAAGGTAAGTAATACAGGGGCCTACCTACAGCCAATCAGCTATCTGTAGGTAAGTATCAGAGGGGCCTGCATACAGCCAATCAGCTATCTTTTGGTTAGTAATAGAGAGGCCTACCTACAGCCAATCAGCTATCTGTATGTAAGTAACAGGGGCCTACTTACAGCCAATCAGCTATCTGTATGTGAGTATCAGAGGGGCCTACCTACAGCCAATCAGCTATCTGTAGGTAAGTATCAGAGGGACCTACTTACAGCCAATCAGCTATCTGTAGGTAAGTAATAGAGGGGCCTACCTACAGCCAATCAGCTATATGTACGTTAGTAATAGAGGGGCCTACCTACAGCCAATCAGCTTTATGCAGGTTAGTGATAGGGGGGCCTACCTACAGGCAATCAGCTATATGTAGGTTAGTGATAGAGGGGCCTACCTACAACCAATCAGCTATATGTAGGCAAGTAATAGAGGGGCCTTCCTACAGCCAATCAGCTATGTGTAGGTTAGTGATAGAGGGGCCTACCTACAGCCAATCAGCTATATGTAGGTTAGTGATAGAGGGGCCTACCTACAACCAATCAGCTATATGTAGGTAAGTAATAGAGGGGCCTTCCTACAGCCAATCAGCTATCTGTAGGTTAGTGATAGAGGGGCCTACCTACAGCCAATCAGCTATATGTAGGTAAGTAATAGAGGGGCCTACCTACAGCCAATCAGCTATCTGTAGGTTAGTGATAGAGGGTCCTACCTACAGCCAATCAGCTATATGTAGGTAAGTAATAGAGGGGCCTACCTACAGCCAATCAGTTTACCAACTTCAGGGGCAAGGGAAAAGTCATGTCTTACAGATATTTACTGATCCTTTTGTTTATTTACATCAAAAAGAGTGACTTAGTCATATATTTTTGTTCTGTACACTTGACTTTTTATTAAAAAATAAAAATTGTTTTTCTATTATTTATAGATTTGAGAAATTAGACATAACACCAAAAAGTGCTCAGAAGATTAAACCTGTCCTTGAGCGATGGATGCTCGAGGCAGAAGAGAGATATAAGAACGGTGTGTCCAATCTCACCGACTTCATAGGCAGCGAACCATCAAAGAAACGTAAACGGAGAACATCCTTCACTCCACAGGCACTGGAAGTTCTCAACCAGTTCTTCGAGAGGAATACACATCCTTCAGGTAACATGCACTTCTACGGATTTCTCCCGGGGGCCATTTTCTGTAGATTTGGAGCAGAACTAACCACATTTCCAATGTGATTTAAGCAATGTTGTCCGTATTAGGTTGAAAAAAGTTTTAACTTTATATACAATAAAATCAAATTACTTTTTTCTGTTTTAATGCTGTGTTTCTGTGGCAGGGGAGGCCCTGGTGGACGGAATTGTTTCTAGATGGTATATGTTGAAAGAATAATCAGATTTCAATAAAACTTGCTTTGTATATTTTCTACCCGTCTGTAGCTGAAAATTAGATGCTAGTGAAAATTCAAAAATATTTAATAAGGCTGCTGTAATCTGATTGGCCGATGGTTTTCAGATAGTATCTTTTGAGAAAAATTCTGTTAGTATGTGATAGAGGTAAAAAAGAAAGGATTTGATTTGATTGTTTCAGGTGCAGAAATGACAGAGCTGTCAGAAAAGTTGAACTATGACCGGGAAGTGATTCGTGTGTGGTTCTGTAACAAAAGACAAGCGTTAAAAAACACCATTAAAAAACTCAAACAGGAGACACCCTGACATAGGGTTTGGTCTCTGCAAATTTGATTGGTCAAATCATGGTCAACCATTTCTTCCCCAGGATTTGATTGGCCAAACCAACTTAGGTCAGCAAATGTCTTCGCAAAAGAATAGAAGGGTTTCATTGGACATTTGAAAATGACAACCACCTTCTGCACAACAAAGGATTTGACTGACCAATGTGTCCAAGGATTTGATTGGTTGGATTTCCAGAGCCATGTGTTGATAGGATCATCCAAAAATTTCAATTCTGTTTCAGGGATAAATGCAGCTACAAGTGTGTGACCCCGTGTAGGGATATAAGTGAAAGCTTACGTTTTGTGCTTTTGCATCATTTATACATAGATATGGTTGTCATGTAGTTTCATCATCACCAGCATCGTCACCATCAACATCCTCGTCATTGTCAACATCAGCATCATAATTAATTGTTAGAAATTGTTGTTCCAATGTTTTTATTTTCAGAGCAGGGACCACAGTTTAGGTCTCAATATATTGTTTCTTTTGAAGTTATTAAGACTAATTATGATTAATAAATTAGATATGAGCTTAATAATCTCCTCAAAAACAAATCAGAAATCCATTTCCTAAATGGCTTTGTGAATTTAGATGCTCTGTTGGAGAATGTGTAGTAATGTTAACAGTTACTTTCTGACTCATTATAGCTATGCGTACCAGGAGAGACAAGGTACAGGTAGTACTTTTATACGGTACCCTGTGTCATCTTAGATCTGTGCTATGTTTAGAATTTGTCTGTCTTAATACTGCAATTTTTTAAATATAAAGAAGAATATCAGATAAATGTTTACCTTGTTTAGGTAAAAGGGTGACACTGGAAAAGGGAGATAATCCAAGTGCCCCATTGTCTTCAACACTTTACGTTTTGGTTATCAGGTAAAGGGAGGTAACTTGAGTTTTTCAGGACTACTGCAAGTATGAGAATTATTCAAAACTCTTTCTTGTTTCTTCAGATATCTTGTAATGGTGTCAAAGAGTAAAAACTTAATGTTTAAAACCATACATAGCTACAGGTACTGATATTTTCAACAAATTGAAAAGGTATGAACATTTTTAATTCCCTTTTCATTTGAACAAGATATTTATCAGAACAAGAGTTTCAGCTTAATTTTGTAAGTATGGAACCCAATGATTAAATAGTATCTGGTTCACTAGAATGACTAGACTATAAATAGTATCTGGTTCACTAGAATGATGATTTACAATGTGTCTGTGTCACTCCATTAGCCAAAGGAAGTACCTCGCCAATTAACAGGTTTAATTGTTCAAAAAACATTTAAGGTCAAAAAATTATAATTCAAATAGTGGTTATGTAGAAATTTTCAGTTTTAAGTGTGTTTACATTTCCATTCTGTGTTTACATCTGATGTAAGTGAGTATTTGGTTGCACGTTTTTATATTTTTCTATCTATTATTGATACTTTTCACTTCTACCTGTATGTGTTACACATTGTATCTAAATGATGGTGAAACTCTATATTTAGATATTATTTTTTGTTGAAAGTCTTTTAATTTTTCTTGTACTGTCAGCCATAGGATAGTTGCAATATGATACATGTTTTTTTTCCCTGGAGCTGTACATGTTAACATTGACTTGGTTGGTCAGACCTACTAGCTGTACGTGTTAACGTTGACTTGGTTGGTCAGACCTACTATCTGTACGTGTTAACGTTTACTTGGTTGGTCAGACCTACTAGCTATACATGTTAACGTTGACTTGGTTGGGCAGACCTACTAGCTGTACATGTTAACGTTGAGTTGGTTTTTCAGACCTACTAGCTGTACATGTTAATGTTGACTTGGGTGGTCAGACCTACTCGCTGTACGTGTTAACGTGGGCTTGGTTGGTCAGACCTACTAGCTGCACATGTTAACGTTGACTTGGTTTGTCAGGCCTACCAGCTGTACGTGTTAACGTTGACCTGGTTGGTCAGACCTACTCGCTGTACGTGTTAACGTGGACTTGGGTGGTCAGACCTACTCGCTGTACTTGTTAACGTTGACTTGGTTTGTCAGGCCTACCAGCTGTACGTGTTAACTTTGACTTGGTTGGGCAGACCTACTCGCTGTACATGTTAATGTTGACTTGGGTGGTCAGACCTACTCGCTGTACGTGTTAACGTCGACTTGGTTGGTCAGACCTACTAGCTATACATGTTAACGTTGACTTGGTTTGTCAGACCTTCCAGCTGTACGTGTTAACGTTGACTTGGTTGGTCAGACCTACTAGCTGTACATGTTAACGTGGACTTGGTTGGTCAGACCTACTCGCTGTACGTGTTAACACCCATGAGTTGTTGAAGTAGAATGTGTTATGCTCTCTCTGTTTTGGAGTGAATCCAGTGTGGTTCTGTGCAATATTATCTTTCTTCATTTCATGTTTAAAGACCAAGTTCTTGTTCAAAATATCTGACATGTTTTAAAAGTACCCACCAGAATCTGTCTAATCTGTTGGGAAAATGTTCTTGAAACAAAAACTACTGATTCTAGCCACAATACTGTCACCCTGGTACTAGGTACACATGGTACTGCCCTAGGAGTCTCCCTAAGCTTGTTCACGGTACTGACCTCTGTTACAGTACAAGCATGTCTATTGGGGGATGCTTATATTATAATTACAGTCTGGTGAACTACAGTAAATGGGATGTTTTGACCCGGTTACCTCAAAACTAGGATAACTGACAAGTTTTGTGGTCCCGCCAACTCCATCAATATCATTGAAAACATTTGAAGAAATTCTGCTATATAATATAATGGTATATGTAGGAAATATTTTGTTCAAGTGGAAAGTTTCGCTTGTGGAAGTGTTCGTGTTATGACTTTAAACTCATCACAGTTACGAAATTTTGTATTGACATAGGTTGAGAAAACTATCATATTCTGTATATCGATACTATATATAGATCAATGTTTCTGTGGGGATATTGTTTCAAATTAATCAAGGAGAAAAGTGAATGTATCCAAACCACAAAAATTCCACTTTACAGTGACAGTTCATGATCAGTGCTTGTGTTCATAGCAAGAGACGGCAACAATATCTTATGATGTTTATGTATCACAACATGTCCATCAGTTAACAGGGAAGGTTTGGTCCTGACGGGAACAAAAAGGGTTTTCCTGTGGGAGAATGAAATCAGGTTTTTGTTGAAGACATATCAATTTGTGCTGTTAATGATAAATATGTCAGTAATTACTTGTAGCTGAGCTGTGTTGCTAGTCAGTGCGTTATTTATGGTTCTGTAGATTCCAGCGTAGCTGTAGTGCTGTGTAGTTCACCCAGACAACACCAGGACATGATCTATTTATAGTTCTGTAGATTCCAGCGTAGCTGGAGTGCTGTGTAGTTCACCCAGACAACACCAGGACATGATCTATTTATAATTCTGTAGATTCCAGCGTAGCTGTAGTGCTGTGTAGTTCACCCAGACAACATCAGGAGATGATCTATTTATAGTTCTGTAGATTCCAGCGTATCTATAAAGTCTTCAGTTTAAGGATCCCTATACCTCTACACTGTAGTCCTTCATGTATACAGTAACCTCCCCTTAGTTTTGTTTTAGATATAACTAGCAAAGATGGGCCGGTTATTTTCACAGACCAGGCAGCTCAGTCAGGTAGAGTGATAGTATAATAATCTGAAGTCTCGGGTTCAAACCCGGGTCTAGCTTCACTGAAGTTTTACACTTAAAACACTAAGGATTATCTTTTGTTTATTTCGTCTTTATTACTTTTGATAAAAGTCTTGCAAGGTGTGTTTTCTTTTCAGAAATGATGTATCAAATCAATAGTAATGTCAGGGAAACGTTTCCAGTGTGTAGTGATGGTGGTACGGGGATCCTTAACGACACTTAACGTCAAACTCAGCTGCTCTTGTTTTTCTACTAATGTAAAATTACTTGTGGTTTTGCAATACAGTGAAACCCCACTTCCTCGACTTGGTTAACTCGAATACCCCTCATTCATTGAACAGTTTGTTTGGTCCCGACCAAGTTCGTACATAATTCTTTGTAAAGTAACCCCGACTTTTCATGGTCATAGTATCAATCCTATCTATCCGTCAAACAGGTGTGACATGTCACGCCTGACAGATATTTTACCTGTGTGTCACACCAGCACTGCCAATATCTCCGGTTAAGACTACAGGTTACTACACAGTATCGGCGAGATGCTGAATAATAGCATAAGTACTGCTTTACAATATGTACGTATGTTTAATTATTATCACTCAAGATTTGATAGATATATACTTGGTGATCTAGGACCAACCTCGGATTTCTCTAATACCATGTATTCCTCGAACTATTGATCTGGACCCCAGGGGTTTGAGTAAGTGGGATTTTACTGTACATTTCTATACTTACATAATTGTAATGATTTTTTTTGTATTTTTTTTTGAAAAAAATCTCCTATGAGAATCTCTGAAAATGTTGACCTATTGTCTATGAAGTTTGATATTATAATTGTTTACATTGGATGGATACAGAATTTCTTGTATGAACAAAGACTGTTGTACAATGGTGATATTTGTTTTAGGATATTCTTAAATAAATGAACAACTCATTCCTTACATTGGCGGATGGATTTCCAAAGGAACTTTTAACTGGTATTTTATCCTAAAAATTGACAAGGAAATTTACATTTTATGACATGTTTATTTATTGGTCAGTTATTGGTGGTTTTTAGTTGGTCAGTTATTGGTGGTTTTTAGTTGGTCAGTTATTGGTGGTTTTTAGTTGGTCAGTTATTGGTGGTATGTTTGTGAATTTTGTTGTTAACTTTCGTTTGTTTTTTACCATATTGGGCTTCCGCTATTTTTTTATTGAATATTTTTTGTTTTGTGCTTTCACAACTAGTTTCCCTTTTTCCAGTTTCTGTTGTTTCCTTTTGAATGTGTTTTGGTATTGAATGCTTCTTGACCATCATAAAGGAGGGATAATTTAAATTGCAAAAATAAATTCATACTGGAAAAGTTATTCTTTTGGAAATCTGATCAGTTCAAATGAAATTTTATAAGTGTTATTTTGGAAATTGCAAACAAAAAAATGAAAAATCCACTTGTTTTCATAGGAGATTATCTGTATATTAAAACGCATCATGATGATAATACAAATTTAAAAAGGTTTGTGATTTTAGCTGTGTTAACAGTTATTGTGATATGTTCAGCCTCAACTTAAATTTCTTGCAAGCATACAACATATTCTTTTATTATGAACAAAATATAGAAAATAAATAAGGAAAAAGCAAGCCAAGTTATGGTTGGAATACATCGTTTTAGCAATTATGTTTTACCCATTATGTTTTACCGTTAAGATTGTGTTTTACAGAATAATAAACAAAGGATCAAGATATTTTAACATTCTACTGTGAAGCAATGCCAGCGTTCAAGTCATTTCCCTGTATGTCCTGTTGAATTGTTTAGTTATTAATTGTCAATAGAAAATATTGGTATGTAATTGGAATAAGCCATTTGTGTTTGTGAGAATGTAAGGTCCGTACTTCCCATTTAGTGGACCAATCCATTGATCTTCAAGGGGAGACAGGAGGTTGAATCTGTTGTAAGGAAGAATGATCTGTTAATGGTTGTTATAGATTTATGTTAGAAAAGTATTTTAGCTTAATGATTTTTTTAAAGAATATATTATAAAATATATATATGAACAAAACATTTTTATTAATGATTCACCATGTAAATAGCCCTGTTTATTTATTGATAGATGATGTGTTGTAAAGTATTTATTTTCTAGTTACATTGTAGGTAGATTTCCTAACATTATTATAATGGTATATTGATGAAATTCAATGAGAATTGCATGAGACTTTTTTGTCTTGTTTATTATTTATTAATGTATATTCAAAATAAATGTGTGACATTTAGTTGAATAGATGTCAGCTACGTTGTAGTAACATGTTATATACACCATTGATGTTGCCTCACAAACCATTTCATTGTTAGCTATTCCCCAAAGGGGAGACTACTCTTCCAATGGTATGAGTTGCTTCCCTTTTAAACAGGTTTTGAACAGTATCACATGGACTTAAAGAATTTTTTCTATTTTATAATTTGAGAATTTTACACCTTTGAAATATTTCAAGAATGACAGTTAATTGAAGATTTTTATTTATACTGAAGTTTATAACTTTGTTTACAATTACTTCATCTTCATTTTTTCTGAAAATGCCATGTTTTACATAATACCCCTGTTAGGAAGGAAGGTGGGTCGTACAGTTGGAAGGTAACTGTATTCTACTGAGAGGGAATACAATATAGAAGTAGATCACAGTCGATTCGTTATGTGTAATGAGCAGTTTAAATGCTTCTATATCATTGCCATTTTACTTGTTTAAAAAATTGAAAGGTTGTTTAAAATTTATAAAGATTAATCCATTTTTCATAGAAATCCATTTCATACATAATTAGCATTGTCACTTCAACAAACCTGTTAGACAATTTTCTTCAAGGTCCCATTTTTATTTTTTCTGGTTTAAAGAAAAATGTTATTGGCACTATTTCAAAAACTGAAGGGAGATCACTCTGCAATACTTGCAATATTTCGACATTTTCCATCACATGGTTTATGCCAACATATATATGTTAACTGAAGTGCTGATTGGATTATTGCTGTTTTAATTATATGTTTATGTGTGCATTTTTTATTGTCATGCAGTATATATCAATTTGACATTTTAAAATTTCTAAACAATCCATTGAAGTGACTCGCATTCAAAACATTTTTGTTTCGGAGAACTGTCTCTTAAAGGTTGTTGTAACTTCAAAGTTAACATAAACCACTTAATTAATTATTGTTTGTAAGAAACCTCAGCATTATAATTTGTAGACAATTTCTTTCATTTTGACATTCAGGTAATTTCCTTTCCCTGCACATTTACTTTAAAGGATGACAACAAGACTATATGAAGTTACACTTTACATCAAAACCAAAGTTTCTGGACTAACAAAGTTCTGAATCATGTAAAAAAAACATAAGTTTTTGTACATCCCAAAATCATGGATAAATCTTATTCTATGATACTAATTTAT